ATATTAAGAATAATAATATATAGAAAGCTACTTTTTAAATATATAGAGGATATTTTAAAACCCTTATTATACCTTTTAGTCTTATTAATATATTAATAACCTTTTAGAGTATAATTAATTATATTTTATAAGAATATATTAATATATATATTATTATATACCTAGATAATATCTTTATTTTCTTAAAAATAATAAATAAATATAAGTAATATATATATAAAGTACTTAAGATACTATAAGATATTAAACTATTAATAAAACTAAAAAAAGAAATTCTATATTTAAGAAGTTAATTACTTTAGATTTATTATTATTTTAGAAATTATTAAAATAAATAAGAAAAAGATTAAAGTAATTTAGAGATAGCTAATACCTTAAAATATTAAGGATATTTAATTATTTCTTAAATTAATTAACTTTTATTAATACTTTATTAAAAACTATATTAAAACTAGTTAAAGCTTTATAGAGCTTATTTAAAAAGATAAACCCTTTAAGTAGATAAAATAATACTAAAAAGACTTTAACTAAATTAAGTAGTATATAGTAAATAATATTATTCTATATATATTAAACTTAAAAAAACCCTTTAAAGTTAAAATAGATATCTCTAACTTTATAATAGGAGTATAACTCTTATAATAAGATCTAAAAGGATAACTATAACTTATTATCTTTCTCTCTAAAAAGCTTAATAGATTAGAATTTAACTATTAGATTTATAATAAAGAACTTATAGTAATTATTAAAGTATTTAAGAAATAGAGACCTTATCTCTTAAGAACTAAATATTTAATAAAAGTCTTTATAAACTATAAGAACCTCTTATACTTTATTACTTTAAAGAACTTAAATAAAAGATAAATTAAATAGTTAGAGTTTTTATTTAAATTTAATTTTAAAATTATTTACTATAAAGAATCTAAAAATAGATAAACTAATACTTTAAGTAGATAAATAGATTATAACGTCTTAATACTTAAGGAAATATAAGTTATTTTTAAAATAAATTAAAAAAGTAACTTTATATTAGCTATTAAACTTCTATATATAGCTAAAAACAATAATACTAACTTAACTAGAAGAATATCTATTAAAGCTATTATAAAAATATATATTATATTTATATATAGTTATTAAGATATAACTAAAATATAGAAATATATTAAATAATGCTATAATAAAATAGCTATATAATAAGAAATATCTTTAGTAATTAGGGACTATAAGGTTTATATAAAAAGTAAACCTAATTAATATTAACCTTATAATAAGATATAGCTACTCTTAATACTATAAATAGTATAGAAATTAATCTTATTAAACTTTATTATTAAGCTATTTAACTCTAAAGAACTAATAACTAAGGTTAGTTATAATAATATCTTTATTATTATTAATAGACTTATAAAGTACTTATACTTTATCCCCTATATAAAGTTTAATACTATAAAAGACCTTACCTATAGGTTTCTATAAATAGCTATTAGTTAATATAAAATACTAAAGAAAATTATATCTAATAGGGATAAGTTATTTACTTTTAAGTTTCAAAGATCTCTAATCTTATAGTTAGAATCTAATTATAAGATATTTACTATTTTTTATTTATAAACTAATAGCTAAATAAAATAAATTAACTAAATTATCAAAATCTATTTATATTACTATATTAACTACTAATAAGATAATTAAGTCTAATTACTATTTATAGCTTAATTTACTTATAATAATATAATAAGAGAAAGTATAAAAGAATTATTATTCTATTTAAACTATAAATTTAACTTAATAGCGTATAGAAAACTATAATAAGGCTTAATAGCTCTAAAAGCTATAATAGATATTAATAAACTTAAGGAAATCTAATAGGAACTCCTAAGAGAACTTAAATTTATATATAAATAAATATATAGATATATTAATACCTTAAGAGTTAAGGGACTAACTCTAAAGGAGGGGAATAATATATACCTTCTCTATTAGAATATTAAAACTAAATAACTAAGTAATAAGTTAGACTTTAAGAAACTTAAACCTTTTAAAATTATAAAGAAGATATTTAATATTAACTTTAAACTTATATTATTAAATACTATAAAGTACTATTTAGTTTTTTATATCTTACTTTTCAAAAAAGTACTATAAGAATCCTATATATAAGACTATATTAAAGTTAACTTAAAATAAAAATATAAAGTTAACTAGATCCTTAATTACTAGGAATATAAGGGATAAGATAAATATTTAGTAAAATAAAAAGGTTATAAATATAAAGAAAATATATAGAAACTAATAAAATACCTTTATTATTTAGAGTAGCTATATAATAAATACTAATAGATAAAAGAACTTTAATAAAATAAATAAAGTATTTAGGACTTTTAAGAAACCTATAAGCTAAAAAGTAAATAAGAAATTTAAAGTATTAAAATTTTAATTACTTAGTATATTAAAAAGATTTATAGTACTTTAAGTACTTACTAACTAAGCCTCCTATATAGAAGATAACTTAGCTAGAGGAACCTGCTCTAACTTATCTACCTCTATTATTACTTTAGTCTCTTATTAACTCTTTTTAAAAACTATCTATTTTACTTTATAAATATAATCTAACTTTATAAAAACTTTATTTACTTTAGACTATACCTTCTATAGTACCTCTATTTACTTTTAAAATAATTCTTTTACCTCCTCCTCTTTATTATTAAGGTAATAAAACTTAATTATAAGGTATTTTATTATAAAAATAAAATTAATAAAGGGAGTAATAAAAGAAATAAAATAGAAAAATAAATATTAATAAATAGTATCTTTTAATATATTATAAGATTTTTAAGTACTATCTATATTAATATATTCTCTATAAACTAGAGAGCTAAGTAATATCTTATAATATAAGCCTTTAAAATAATAATAATAATAAAGTATAACTTTAAAACCCTTTATAATAATCTTAAGTAAATAGTAATAATAATAAAGAGTAAATATTATAAGAGAATTAGGAATATAACTTAATATAGTATTAATATTATAAAAATTAGGAAATATAATTAATACCTCTCTAACCTAAAAGATACTATCTATTTATATTAATTTAAGAGATTAAACCTTTAAAGAGAGAACCTAATATTATAACCTATTAGATATAACTAATAGGACTAAAGCCTATAGAGAGCTAAATAGTTATAATAATACTTTATATATAGGATTATAGGAATAAAAGGGATTTCTTAAAATAGAAAAACTATAATATAAGTTATATAATAATAAGATAAAACTAAATAAGGAAAATAAAAAACTAAATATTTAATTAAGACTATTAAATACTTATTTATAATTACTAAGTATTTATTAATATTAATAATATAATTAATAAAAAGAGTAAAAGATATTATTTAAGACTTATATATAGGATAGACTTAAGTCTACTTAAGAATAGACTTCTATAGCTCTTTAGTAATTAACTTATAATTATTATTTATAATACTTTTAGTTATACCTAAGTAATAATTACTCTATAACTCTTATTAAGGACTTAACTAATTATTAAGCCTTTTAAAGACCTATAATTACTTAATTAGACCTATAGAATAACTAATAACTATTATTATTATTATTACCTAACTTATTATTAATATAAACCCTACTATTAGTTAGCTAGCTATAATACCTTATAGCTAGATATTTTAAAGTATAATATATAGTATTAAGAAGAAGCCCTATTTCTTTTAGGAAAAAGAGTATAATAATATTAACTTTATAAAGTATATTAAGTATATCCTTTTTCTTATTAGAGACTTCTATTATAGTTACTTAGGAGTTATTTTTTAATAGGATAATACCCCTATTTATTAAGTTTAAGCTATTAAGGACTAGCTACTCTAAAATAATATTAAAGTTATTAAATAGCTAGCTAGATTATTAGATTTATTACTTATTAAGAACGTTTAATCCTAGATAAAGCACTATATTAAGCTTAACTATAATATTAAGTCTCTTAAGCTCTTATAACTATATACTGCTATTTAAGAGGCTTAAGATACTATCCCTTATAAATACCTATTTAAATTAGCCTATTTAGTAGTAGTAAGGATAGAGGAGTATATCTAGTATAGAGGAGAGATAGTACTATAGTAATAGTAATAATAGTATAAAAACTACTTACTTATATTAATATATTTATTTTACCCTAAAATATATAATGTTTAAAGTACTAGAGACCTTAAATTACCCCCTAGTTGCTCCCTATACTACTAACCTATAAAGTACCGCACTAACCTTTTAGATGCTGGGATAGGTGTATGATGCGAATGGCCTAATTATGGTGTTTGCCCCCCTGGAAATAGCATCCAGGCAGCACACGGAGCACACTTTTCCGATCTTGAGGTCACAAGCAAGTGCAAGGGGAGTTGGTTGATGAGCTCTTACTAAGACCTCTAGGATGTCGGGTTGCTTAGTTAATTTGATAAGAGCTCCTGTGCTCTGCTCGGGCTGCGATTCTGTTGGGTTGTGGTGCTTGTTTCCCTACCTTACAAGCCACCCGGGGACACTCAGTGAGGTGGCCACATGGCGAGCATTTCATTCATTGGAAGCTCATGTTGGAGTCAACCAGACTCGGAATTGGTCATGGACTTACATGAAAAGCTGTGGCAACGACATTCAAGTGAATACCAGCCTCAATCATCTTTTTCAGCCAAACCGTCTCGCAGTCCTTGAGGACATCTTCCATCGTTTGAGATTCTCTGCTAGTTACGCAGCACGTCGAATCCTTCGGCAGGATTCAATTGGTTGGTTTGCGCCAACAACCAACACACTCCGGGCGAAAGTCCCTTTCTAGACAGGGCGACGTAACGCGTGAAATTAGCCGTGATCAAATTCTCTCTTAAAAGCCTCGCGACCCCTTTTCGCGAGCTTCCTACGATTGCCTCAACTTTCCAACGGCTCCGTAGTCATCACCGAATCACCCCAAACCATTCCCTCAAGACCGGCAACCAACAATGAAGACATCGCAACTCGTTCTCGCCGCAGCCGCAGCGGCTCTGCTTTCAATTGCAGACGCGCAGACGACGTTCATGCCCCCCGTGACGGCGCCGGCCCGACCTTTCTTCATCTACGACTCCCACCCAACAGGCAGCCTCGAAGGCTCCATCGTCAGCATCGACATCGAGGGAAGAACAGAAACCTGGCAGCTGGCGTGCCCGACTGCCAACAAAGCCTGCCTGGCAGAGAGCTACTACCCGGTCAACGTCACCCACATGAGAGGATCGGTCTGGGCGGCGTCGAACACGGCGACCGCGGGCGTGACCAAGTTCTGGCAGTGCGACCTCGGCACCGGCAGCGACGACGCGATCTCGAACCAAGGCGGATGGTGCTCCGTGACGACGACGTCCGGCGGCTCGACCAAAGTGGGCGAAAAGACGGCCGTCGACTCCTGCTTCGTGGATGTGCGAAGCGTCATCGCCGAAATCACCGGAGGTCTGGAGAAGATAAGCTACACGGGCGGAGGCTATCCTGCGTCGTACTACTTGTCGGTGCTGGACGAAATGACCAAGTCGTGCCCGCCGTTTACCAGCGCTGCGCCTGTTGAGACGTTGGGAACAGCAGCGACCACTGGGAATGCCGCAACGGGGGCATCTGGCAGCTCGTCATTGCCGACGGAGACGGGGACGGCTTCCGGCAGTGCGGCGCCGTCCGGGTCGGCCCCACCCAGTGGGTCGGGCCGGATGTTGGCGAGCATGCCGTTGGCTTGCGGAGCCGTGGTGGTGATGGGTATCGCCGCGCTGCTTTGATGAATGGAGCATGGACGGAATCCGAAGAGCATATATTAGGAGATACCCCATAAAGTAAAACGCCTCAGCGGCTGTTGAATGGACCATTTTCGCGTTTTCATCAAGGGGTTACCCCGCGAAAGCTTCTCCACGTTCCGAGGAATATGCAGGCCGACTGTGCGCTCACACACCACATAGACGTGTAAGTTCGGGCCAGGTGAAGTCAATGTCAGTCTTGGTTGACAGGTTTGCGTGGTAGGGCATGACACATTGCCCGAATACGCGGGACTCCCGTTTCTACCCCGCCTGTTCGGTGCGAGCGCTTCGGCAGGACCTTGGTGGTTGAGATCAGGGATTAAGCTTCGTAGCATTCCCTCACAGTTTCACAATGGCTTGAAACTCTCTGCCCGCCGGAGAGGCTTTCAGAACGCGTATGCCTCCATTCAGAAATCTCAAATCATGTCGCGAGTGGTGATTGGCTCAGCAACTCGTTGTGCCGGTGGGCACTAGGTCGCCTGTGAGCCCCGAATTGAACTTGTATTTAAGCTTGAAGTTAGCAACTCAAGATCATGGCCGATCGTACTTGATAAGAGCAAGGTTGCGAAGGACGATTCTTCACATTCTTCGAGACGTGTTCTTTGCGTCAGGGGTTGACGGCCTGAGCTCTTTCGCCGCGAAACAATTGGGTTGCAGACAGCGTAGCGAGCCTCGGCTACGATGACATGCACAAGTGAAAGTCAAGTCAAGTGTCAAGTCAGGGACTCACAGCAACTCGAGGTAGCACGCAAGGTGGGACTTGAAGGCTTACCTAAAGCCAGCATTAGCCTGCGACCGGAATAGACAGAAGCTCGGAATTCGATTTGTTTTCTTTCCTCTTTCTTATGCATAGTCTTGGGGCCAAAACAGGGGATATCTTACACCATGACGAGACCCTCCAACATCCACTACTGCAATTGCCTATCTCTTCCATAGGTTCTCAGGAGAGCACCGCCCAGCGGAATAACAGGCAATTGATACAGGCGCTAGCAGGTTCCAGTGTACCTAGTATTTTCCTGGCTGGGGAAGCACAGACTCAGAACCCGAGAAAGCACAGGGCAGCTCAGGTCCGGGCCTACTTCCGGTGGCGCCTGCCAGCTGGGCTTGCAGCTTCTGCCATGTCCATGTCCAGGTGTCCAGGTCCAGCTGAAGGTCCATGTCCTGGAATTGATTTCTTATTGCCTTTGCATTTTTCTTTCTCTTCTGTTCGCCTCGCCGCATCTTCTGCACCAACCCGACCTGACGTTTGCTTTTCCTCTCGAACCGACCTCAGTCCCTGACCACTCGTCTCTTGGGCCCGGCCGTCGCTTAGCCCGGCGTTTCTCTTTCTCTCTGTCTCTCTCCTTTCCTCTCGAGACGGGCCACGGGGTTTGCGCGCCAGCTCAGTCTGAAGCGATGCGACAAGCCATGTTTCCTCACCCAGAAATCGAATAATGCATTGCGTACCTAACCCAGCGTCCGCCGGAACCCAGCCTTTCGTCTTGCCCTCCACTTCCCCTGGCTCTGCCGCCAGCTTCCGTTGGACTGCTTAAGGCAACCCCCCTTCAATTCAGTTGACCACCAACGCCTTTCTCGACACGAGCCTCCCAATCCGCCGGGCCATTACGACGCATCAGAACGCGGCAACGGTATCCCGACCCTTTGGCGATCGGAGCTCCAGGCCAGCCCCAGCCTGGCCTCTTCCACCAACTCACGCTCGTTATCGTAACCGTATCCCCTTGGCTCCCTTAGCCCCGCCGCCAGTCCGCCCGCTGCTGCTTCGTCCTATCTTTCGCAACCCCTCCCCGCCCGTCCAAGCTCTATCGCAACTACACACCATGCCTACCTACCTGTGTCACGGCTTTCGGTGGGATCGTCGAAGTATTCGAGTCTTTGTTGTCGTGCAGAACATTGACGACGCCGCACCCGAATGGATCATCGCACCAAACTCGTCCCCCGCCATACTCGAGTCCTTCTACTCCCTGTTCGACTTCCTGCCCGAGCCGCCTCCCGAAGATACCGACGCCCAAAGAGACAAGAAGAAGCGCAACAAGAACAAACCTCCCAAGGCCGGAGTCTTGCGCAACGAATACGATGTCCCGCCATCCACCGTTCCTCCCGAGGAGGATGATGTGTTGCAGAACAGTTGGAGCGCCGTGAAGCTGCTCGAGGAGTACGACCCGACCGATCTGAGCTATGTCAGCCGTCCCTACGCATATGTGGCCGATCATGTGGTGCGCATCGACCTGAGCAACTCGATAACGGAAGAAATCATGCGGTACGAAGAGCGGCTGGGCGAGACCAAGGCTATGGCCAGCGCTCCTAGCGACGAGTACATCAAGGCCAAGAAGGGCTCGGCATCAGGGAAGAAGGCCGGCTGGTTTGAGAAGCTGAGGGACCAGCTGCAACGAGGAGAAGACATCCGGTGGTACGTCGTGGTCTGCGGCGATGAAGTGCGTGACTATCCCGAAGATATGGTTGCATTCAAGGAACAGCAGGCAATGGATGAGAACCAACGGGAAGACAATGGAAGCGAGACCCCGAGGGGCCGTGATAGGAGTGCAGGCCCGTCATCGAGACCGGCAGCTTCGCCCATCTCCAGCGTACCAGCCAGCCAATTCGCTTCGGCAATGTCTCCAGAAAAACCTCAAGTATCGCCGAAGGAGGCAGGATTGCCCTACGGTACTCTTTTCCAGCATCCCAACATGAACACGGGCGAAGCACCTGCGTTGTTGCAACCGAAACCCTCCATGGACTTCAGACCCAAGACGCCCAAGGGCGGTGGCTTCAGGAGGCTTTTCGGGAAAAAAGGCGACGAACCATGAGAGCTGGAAGCTCGACAGACCGTTTCTTTCAAACAAGAGAACTGCCATGTATACTTGTCACATTCACGGTGCTATCCAGGACACCGCACGATATCCTCGGTTTCGGGCTAATGAAGCCGACTCAACTGCCCATGCGGCAATGCTGAACACGATATAAAGCGAAGGCGTATAATAAAATGATTTAATTAATTCAAACAGAGTAAAGAACGACGGCCATCACGATGACTTACCCCTGCCTTACTCGTTGTTCTCCCGCATCCCGCTAACCCCAGCCGCAGTGTGCGGCCCCCAGCAACCCCAGCTTCCCGTTTGAAGCGAGGCAGGGGTTAGCTTGCTACGTCATTGGTAGAGCTCATCGCACCTGAGCTCCGTGGCTGTTCCAGTTCCAGTTCCAGTTACTCAAGCAGTAAAGCGCCTAGCTCAACACACCAACACGAGCTAGACTTGTTGGCGACCGCCCATTTTCCATGCGGCGGAACGGTCCAACTACCATACTTGCGTCGTGCGAACCTCTTGGCGAGCCGAACACCTTCACCTGCTCTCTTTCCATGACTTGACAGCTCCTGCCAGTCTCGCGCCTGCGACTGGACGCGACACATAGTTGCCCCCTAACATGGAAGGATACTCGAGGCTTCAGGTGCCTGGCACCTCTCCGAGGCCCGGCGAAGCATCGCCATCATTCGCGCAGACCACCGCCGAGTTCAACATGGACAGCGACCTCGATCTCGACGATGCGGAGGAAGACTTGCACCTCCACGAAGCAGAGCTCGGCAACGGCCATGCATACGAGCTCAAGCCCCTGAGGAAGTCACCCACGGAAGCTGAAGATGAATGGGCCGCTGATGCGCCATTGCAAAGGCGCATGAGCTCCAGTACCGTAGCGAGCTTCCAACTATATACTCCGGATGAAGAGGCTGCCGTTGTACGCAAGCTCGATCGACGACTGGTGTTGTTCGTGGCGCTGCTGTTCATGCTGAGCTTCCTGGATCGGTCAAGTACGTTTGTCATGTAGCTATCCCCGACTTTTCTGACACGGCATCTATCTAGACATCGGCAACGCGCGCATAGCTGGCATGGATGAGGACCTACAGTCTAAGCCGCCATGGGACGGATGGTACCAGTGGACTTTGACGTCCTTCTACATTTCGTATATCGCATTCGAATGGATGTCGTTGCTGTGGAAGCTCATCCCAGCCCATATCTACGTCTCCCTAATCGTTCTGTCATGGGGCCTGACGGCTTCTCTGCAGTCGATAGCCGTCAACTATCCCGCTCTCATCGTCTTGAGGATTATGCTGGGTATTGGTGAGGCAGGATTCACGGGTATCCCTTTCTACCTGTCCTTCTTCTTCAAGAGGGACGAACTAGCCTTGCGCACAGCCATATTCATATCAGGTAAGTCACAGCAGAACGAATGACACGGTAACCCGGAATTGACCTTTCTAGCCGCGCCCCTGGCAACGACATTCGCATCATCTCTGGCTTGGCTGATTCTCAAATTCGCCGAATACGGGCCCATCGCCCCTTGGCGGCTGCTCTTCCTAGTTGAAGGCTTCCCTTCGGTTCTTGTGGCTGTAGCCGCCTGGCATATCATACCTGACTCCCCCGAAACGGCGTCATATCTCACCGCGCGGGAGCAGAAGGTGGCACAACTCCGATTGCGGAACGAGAAATCGCACCAGAAGAGCGGCAAGAAAGTTCGCGGTCTTGAGGGCCGCGAGGTGGCTGCCGTTCTCTGCGACCCCATAGCCTGGCTGACCGCCGCCATGTTCTTCCTTACCAACATGGCGTACTCGTCCTTACCGGTATTCCTACCCAAGATTCTTACCGAAATGGGCCACTCTCGCTTAGAGTCCCAAGCACTCAGCGCACCTCCTTACTTCCTGGCCTTCCTCGTCGTCATGTTGACAGCATACTTGTCGGACCGATCTCAGAACCGGTCTGTTCCCATAGTACTCCACGCTCTGGCGTCAGCCGGCGGGTACGCCGCACTCACGTTATCAGAGCCATTGGGTCTGCCTCCGGCACTGCGGTACTTGGCCATATATCCCGCCGCCATCGGATTCTTCAACGTCGTGACGCTCACCATTGTATGGAGCATCAACAACCAGGCGTCCGAAAGCAGACAAGGTGGTGGGTTCGCCCTGATGCAAATCATTGGGCAGTGCGGACCGCTCGTAGGTACGAGGTTGTACCCTGATCGTGACGCTCCTTTCTATGCGTCCGGTATGCAAACCTGCGCATGCGCGATGCTAGCCGTAGCCGTGCTGGCGCTATCTTTGAGATTCTACCTCAGTTATCTCAATCGAAAAGCCGATGCGGCGTCGGCGGATGGCGGTGATACAGAAGAAGACCTAGGTCTCGTTGCCGGCAAGCGCTCAGCCATAGCCAGCGACAACTTCAGGTACATATTGTGAGCCTGTAACTGCTGATGTTGGTATCTTTCATAGAAGTTATTCTAGTCGTCATAGAAATGAAAGTCATGAACTGAGAGAAGTCCGCCGGGACCGAACGCGTGCTCTGCCACGAACTCATCCCTCCACGTAGGACAGCGAATCTCCCTTCGCAAATTCTCCGATGAAGATCGGCGCGCCTTTGCCCACAGTGGTGGAGAGTAGCAGCGTCTCATCCAAACCGTTGGAGCCAGTCGACATGAACACCTGTGCACAGACCAACACCCCCGGGACGTGGAGATCTGATTAAACCTCGGCCCCATTCGACAACCGATCGTCTTCCGAACACCGGGCCAGCCTCAACTTACACGGATTTCATCCATCGCTCTCCAGAGCAAACGACAGCAACAATTGGTCTTGTTTCTCCGTGTCATGGTAGCATTCAAGAGACTCATCAACCCCACATCCCGTCTCTCACTCCGCCATTTCTCCACAATCTCACCGTACCGGGCTTCCTCACCACTGCCGGCCGCAGCAGCAGCAATGAAGTCGGAGAACCCGGACCTCAAACACTTCCTCGCCATCCCATGGGCCGCGGCGCACATCAACGCCCCCGACACGGTCCGCGAGACGGCCTCGTCGCGGTTTCCGAAACAGGACACCGAGGACGAGCTCTTCTCCACGACGCTGCACACCGACAAGACCATCGCGGCGTTCTTGACCTTATACAAACGGCCGTCGTCCTCCTTCTCCTCATCATCAGCAACGACCGCTGAGAAGGACGACGGCACCGGCAACATCATCCGCGAGGTCAAGGCCCTCCTGACGCTCCGCCACGGCGTCAACGGGTACCCCGGGGTGTCCCACGGCGGCATCGTGGCCACGATCCTGGACGAGACGATCGGGCTCGTGTTCCCCCTGAACAAGGTCAACGGGCTGCTCGAGGACGCGTCGTACATGACGGCGTACCTCAACACGCAGTACGTGCGCCCCGTGAGGACGCCGCAGACGATCCTGGTGGTGGTGACGGTGAAGAGGGTCGAGGGGCGCAAGTTCTGGATCGAGGGGGTCATCGAGGACAAGGACGGGCAGGTGCTGGCCAAGGCGGACTCGCTGTATGTCAGGGTGCGGGAGAAGCTCTGAGCGTGTTTGGGATCTCATGGAGTGAGGGTTACGATTTGTATGGTTTGATATTGTCGCACGTTTGATAGACCAGAGCGAATGGCTTGTTTGAGTAGAGGATATATCAAGATATTAGACAAAGCGCTATTCTGTTTGAAGTTGAGGTTCACATGGTTGCCATATTCGTAGCCCCGTTTTCTTTCCCCGCCGCCCTTCAGACATCACGTAGGTGAATTAATCCTGGGGAGAGCGAGAGTCGGGTCGCCCGCAAGTCCCACCCCGCTCCTTCCCTCAGAGAACCCAACAACCAAAACACCACGAAACCTTTCCGCACGCGACCACATCATCAAAAGTCCCATTTCCCTCTATTCTCTCAAGCAAAAGTAGAAAAAAAAGGAACAACAGGCAAAAATGTGAAGAACGCGCTGTATTTCAAGCGCGCCACCTCGAGTTTGTCGAAAACACACAAGGCACTGGAGACTCGAACCGTGGTGGTATTTATGCGGCCTCCTAGCTTGGCACCTTCATGCTTTTGCCGACTGAGCCATATGGCTCGCATTATCGCCGAACTTGTGGTGAAAGCTCTGCCTTTTTTTTAGGGGCATATAGTTTGGAACGCTGGCCCGGGGAGGGAAGGTGCCCGGGTTGCTGCCTTGGGTGGGCGACGCAAGACAGACACGCCACGCCTTTCACCTCAGATTTTTGGGGGGTTTCGGGACATGTTCAGGAGGGCTGGTATTAGGCAAGCACAAGGCCCGTCCTACGGAGTCTTGGATGGGTCCTGCTTCGATTTAGTATACGGCTGGATAGTAAGGTAAAGGGGGGGAAATGGATTTACTACGATGAGTCTTACTGGGTCGCTGATGCTCTGGTTATATGGCTATAGTGATAGCTAGGCAACGGTGTCTACGGCAAATGAACAAAGGTATGATTCAAGATCTACTTGTTTGCAGAGTTCTTGATCTTAGAACCAGGTGAGACTGGACTTTACCATCGATCGAGGAGGCTGCTCGGTGGCAACGTGAGTGCGCAACTACACACTGAGTGAAAGGGTCGAGAATGGAAGGGAAACGAATTACACCTGAGCCGATGAACGTAAGAAGGGAGATACGTTGGCTACGTTTTCTGCCTTGGATGAAGAATTGTAATTCGCGGGTCAAATCTGCGTCTGACTGAAGAGGAGTCAAAGTTTAAGATAGAATTGAGAACCGTAAGAGTACGAAATATAAACACCATTTTCAGGGCGTCGTGACTGCTTCGTGAGAAACATCTTGTCGTGAGACTAAGATACCCGATGCTCGAGTTCAACTAAAGTGAGGTGAAGTTGTCAAGACGCGTCCGACGACCCCACAGCGTCCGAAGCGGTCCGTCACCCTGGGACTGGCTCAGGGCGGACCCTTCCGCGCTAAACCCAGTTTGGTCTCAGTCCCTGGAACTCACAGCCAGATCCACCTAAAATTTCATCCGCCTTCATCGTCAATGACATCCCCAAGATCTCAAACTCATCACGAACGGACATCTCAACCACGACTCTCATCGCGCGGCGGCACGCAAAGTCCCAGCGCCGGGCTCATTGAATTCAAACGCCTATTAGCACAGAGAAGCGAAGGATTAAGACAGATTCTCAACCTGCCCCACGTCCTGCCAGCAATCATGGCTCCCAAGCGCGCGGCCGAGGGCGCGGCAGCATCATCCTCAGACGCCCAGAAATCCAAGAAGCCTCGCAAGGGATTCCGCGTCGGACCAGAGAACCTCCCGGACGGTCCATGGCGTAGAAAAAGTGAGAGAACTCCCCCCCTCCTGGAAACCTTTCCAAGTCCGCTAACCACATATCGCAGTCGAGAAGAAAAAGGCTGAACTCATCCACAAGGCCAAGATCAAGAAGCAATACGCCAAAATCAAGGAGCGCGAACTCGCCGCCCGCTCATCATCCAACCCAGCCCCCGCCGCCGTCGCCACTGTTCATGAGGAACCAAGATCCGACAACAACGACGACGAGGACGCGTCGGCCGCCTCGCCAGCACCGCAATCCACCCCCAAGGACCCGGAAACCCAGACTACCCCATCAGGCCCGGACCCGTCAGAACTGCACCCGACCCGCCAAGACCTCCTCCTCACCGAGGATGGCGAGCTGCCGAACCCGAACACCATCGCCGTCAAGCGCAAGCACGGCGGCGGCAAGGACGCAGACGACGAAGGCAACGGCGAGGGGGAGGACGACGCGGGGGTCGACCGCTACGAGCCGCGCAAGCCCCGTCGCCCCCGCAAGCCGGGCTACTATGAGAAGCAGCTCGCGCACGCCGAGAAGCGCAAGGCCGAGGCCGAGGAGCGTCGTGCTGAGATGCAGCGTCGCCGCGAAGAGCGGGAGCGCAAGACGGCTGACCGTGAGAGGTTCCGTCGTGCCATGGCCAAGGCTCGTAAGGGTGACAAGAACGGTCAGCGCAAGCTCGGTCGGGAGAGCTCGCTGTTGTTGGAGAAGGTGAAGCGCATGGTGGGCGACTCAAAGTAAACCGGCGCAGTTTCGTTTTTCATCATAAATTTGATACCACACGTCACAAGTCACATTAGGAGCAAGGTATAATAAAAGTCGGGTTTTGTTTTTTGCAGAAAACGAAATGGCTAAGCCATTTATTTGATATTTGCAGCGTCACTACTTCAAATGCCCTGATGACCCCCATGCGCAATTATCATGCTTCAGAACCATCCTCATTCTTCATCGTCCACTATGCATCGTTCCCCTTCCTTCTTCTACTCAAGTACAAAACTCGCCACAAATGTGATCGTCCTCAGCACTCGAAAGCCAACGAGTGCGAGTAAGTGAAAGCGCGCTCGCAACGAATGTTAATACGTCCCGCCGGTTCTGATTCCCAAACCCGCCGTCAGGAACCAAGAAACTCCTTTCGTGCCCCGAAGCAAGAAGAAATTTGGATATCATTAAAGCTTCCTAGCACGGATCAACGCCCCTTTTCTGCGGTCATGACAGCGGTCAAACGGGAAATGCCGAATTCAAATGCGAAAAGTTCAGAGCCGTCAACTCTGGGCGGGATCGTCTCCGGGCCAGGATTGGTAAAGAAAATGTGGTCGAAGGCGTAAGGTCGTGGGTGCGTGGATATATACAAGGTTTCCAACGTGATGTCGAGCCATCCAATGCCGGTGTTTTAATCAGTGAAAATGGTGTGACTATTCTCAATGACAAATTGCACGGCCAGGTTCTTGGCGTGCATGTCCGTCATCTCTCGCTCGAGGCTGGTGTCTCTCATGATTGTCGGGGCGAATACAACCGCCAGGTTCTTGGGAGACATCTGATGATATTATTAGCGCCAGCAAGGGAAGAATTCACGACGTAACGTACCAAGTTCTCGGGCTCACGTTGAGCCACGCGGGCCAGATGGAACATGAGGAACTCGAGGCAGTCACGATGACGCTGGGGCATTGTGCCGAATACCTTGCGCAGGTGGTCGCAGCGTTCCGTTTGGTCTGCAATGGCTGAGGAGACGTCAGTATGAACCTCTGTGTGGTCAGGAATAGACTTACCGTTGGACTCAAGAACCCTATCGTATACATCGAACGTCAGCAGCGGGATCGGAAGCTTCCTGAAATATTGCTTCAAAACGCTCGTCACTGCTGTGATGTCGAGTCCGGGGTCTGAGATATCGTAATCCTCGCTCTTGTCGAAGCCCTCTTGAATCACCTTCACCAAAGAATTGCCGCCGGTCTTTCGGTAGATGCCCTCAATGTCCATACCACGTAGCTCAACCTCCTCAATACAACGGGTGACAACGCTCGGAATCGTGCGACGTTCGTAGTCGGCTCTCTCGACGAGATCAGAGCCGAAAAGCGTGGAAGGCGCCTCCGCAATTGCGGGTGTCGACACATTTGTGGTGGACATGGACTTGACTGCGCCCTTCTTTCCAAAGAAACCGAAGCCTCCGGGATGCGGCGGCGCACCCTTCGGTGCAGCGTTGTTGGAGAGCTGTGTGCTAGGGGCCTCGACTTGGGACACGGTCATGTTGTACGGCAGACCAATGTTGTCGCCCGTGAGACCCGGCTGGTGCATGCGTTGCTCGCGTTCATTTGCGAATGCGCCAGCGGCTCGGTTGAGACCCTTGGACAAGTTCTGTGCCATGCTCTTACCACCCTTCTTCCAGTTGAACTTCTTGACTTGACCCTTGCGGATGTCTACAACTGTCGGTCTCGCCTCCACGACGGGCTCCTCCGTCTCATGAACGAGGGTAGTGGTCATGCTGGCAGAGTCCGCCAGGTTGAGGTTCGATGACGAGAAGACCTTGCTCTGACTGTAGATGCCCAGTCCGTTGGGCGACTTGAGCTCGCCGCCAATCTGAGACTTGAAGCGCTCTTGGATCTGGTGGGTAAGGTCGTTGTTCATATCGGCGAGCTGGGCGTTCTTGGACGAAAGCTGCTCGAATTCCAAAAGAGCGCGGTCTCTGTCGGCGATGGCCTGGTTCTTCTCGTCGACCAATTCGTCACGTTCGGTATGAAGCTGTTCAATGGCGGCGCTCATCGTCTGCTTGACCTTATCAAGCTTCTGCACGAACTCCTTAATCGCGGAGTCCTCCAGATCCCGAGGATCGACGGGCGTCTTGGTCTCCTTGGCACGCTCAACGTATCCGGCCAAAACCTCCAATTGCCTGATCATAATCTCGGTCTGGGTGTCGAGCACCGAGACCGTCTTGCGTTTTTCAATCAGAGTCTTGTTCAGTCGCTTCAGGTCCTTCTCGGTGGTGAATTGCCTCTCCAACTCCGCCACGCGATTCTCCGAGTTACGCAGCTGCCGCTTAAGGAGAGCTGGATCGTCGCTCGAATGGATGGAAACGGGGCTGCTGATATCACGGCTGTTGGGGTCTTCGAGAATCGGCGTCTTTGGCCAGCGAGGAGACGGGGTGCCACGGGTGGTTTCGCTAATACTCCTCGTGTGACCGGTGACTCTATGGGGGTGCTGAGGCATATGAGGGTGACTGGATTCTGTGCTGTTGGTGCGACCATGACGAACGGCGTTTGACACACGGCGAAGTATCGAAGAAGAACCTTCGTCGGTGCCCAGGATCCTAGCCATGTCCTCGTCCATACTGAAGTCGCCACCTGCACTCCATCTTGGCAGCTTGGGCGAAACCTTTTCTTCACTCGATGCGTTCGCCTGATCCTTAGAAGGGGGTTTGGGTGTGTTCGCTGGCAGGCCGGGCGGTTGCGGGGGTGCTCGGGGCTGCATGTAAGTGTCGCTGAGCTTGTGCTCAGTCATATTCGGGCGCGCGGGAGCGGAGAGACCCGATGAGCTTGTCTCATCGTGCATGCTGGAACGCCCAGCAGAGCCGCTGACGGCCTTACCGTTGGCTGCAAAAGCAGAGTTAGAGTCGGTGCGTCTTGCATCAATTTAAAACATGGGTTAGAGCACATACCGTTGCGCGCAGGCAGTTCCTTCCTGGTGATGGACTTCGCTGTCACGTCTGTTCGTGACGAAGAGATGGAGTCCATCGAGGGTCGGACCTCGCCCTCATCGCGTTGTCTCGAGTCCTGGGACGATCGAGAGGTCCCGTTGCCCTTGCGGGGAGGTGAATCGGACGAGGGCAAGTTCGGGAATGGCTCCTTGTCTTTGCGTAGAACGCCGTCACTGCTCTTGGCGCTTCCACTTTCAGGGGTCATGGCGGCCGAGTGCGATGCGCTCCTGGGGCTGACCAACTTCTTGCTCTTGGGCGCATCCTGCAACTTGAACTCGTCGATCGACGGTGACAGCTTGCCAGCAGTGACCTTTTGAGTCTTCTCGTCGCTGCCAATAGACGCCCGCGGATCGCTTCTAGAAGACTTCGACGTCTTGCGCAGTGGCAGCTTGACAGAGGCCGAGTCGTAGTCGGACGACGGCTGGCGACCCTTCTCCTGGAAAGCGATATGCGGCGTCGAGGATGAAGAATCATTCTTCTTATCCGTGCTAGCGCGAGTTACGCTGTTGAAGTAGTCCTTGTCCTTCTTGGAGCTCGACGCGTTCTCTGACGTTGACCGCGGGGCAGTGTTGGAAATGGGTGACGGGTCCAGTGCAACCGGGATGAAAAAGCCGTCGTCGCCGCCGCCGTTGGCATCGACGCCGGCGTTCGGAGGGAGGATGGTCGAATTGCGGTTGTTGCGGTAGTTTGAGGGAGGTAAAGACAGACCATCCTTGGTAGCTTCTGAAGGGCGCTCAGGGGAGCGGGAGGGCCGAGTGCTGTTTTTGGACGACGAGTCGTTTCTGCTGTAGGCAGGGCGCGGGCGAGGGGACAACTCGGTGGGCGTATCGGAGTCAGGGTCGACTCTGGTATCAGAGAAGGCATTCGGAGGAATGGCGTTGGGAGGAAGGGCGGGAAGCGACTTGTCGGTTATCATTGGAGACCCGTCTTTCTCCCTCGACTTGGCTTGAGCTGCCGCTTTTGATTTTTTTCGTCGTCTTGCCATGAGCGACTCATGACAGCTCATGCAGAAGATTCCCTGGGAGGTTCGCGCGTATCGCAGGTTCTCAATCTTTCTCTTACAGTTGCGACACCGGAAGCACGTCGCGCAGAACGCCTGGTCGCCGGTCAGGATGGCAAGATCTTCAATCTTGTTCCCGCAAGCACTGCAGCTGTAGGTGCAGTTATTGCAGATGAGGGAGCCATCGCCGAGCAGCAGCAGGTTCGCATCGGAGTCGAGGAGGGTGCCACAGGTGTTGCAGCGGAAGCAGTCGAGATGCCATCGGTTCCCGGCTGAATCAGGAGGAGAGTCGTTAGCACTGCTGAACTTCGAGACCGCCGGCGACACGGCCATGGGGGACAGCATGGCCGCAGAGGCAAGGTGGTTGGCGATGTCGAGCAAAGAGTAGGCAGGGCAGAGACGGGTTGGGAAAGGGGAGGTGAAGAAAAAGAAGCAGCTGAGCAGACATACCGAGTTCGAACGCTTTGCCCTCTTCTAGGATCTAGTCGGGTAGGGCACCGCCATCAGTACGTGCTTGCAGACGGACAGGAGTCACCAGTGCGGGCCATCATACCTCTCCGCAGCCTTTGCAAGGAAAAACGTCGTCGTTGTCCATAGGGCTCTCCAGATAGTCTTCCATGACGGCGGCCATGACGGGCAAATCGTCCTCTCTGACAGGACGTCGTCACGACAGTGTTCTAACGAGCAGGGTCGAGTTCGTCGAGGATCATGAACGTAACGTCGGTAGCAGGATGATCGATGAGCGAATAACGATCGACTAGGAGGAGCTGTATCATGGGACGACGAGGAGGCAGCAGACAGCAGACAGCAGAGTCGCCAGGCTGTGCGGTTCGTGCCAGGAGCTCGACAGGATGGGGCGTGTACGTCGGAGAGTGTAGCGTCGAATGGACGGACGGCGCTCGGTCGATGTGCTCGGGGTTGCGATAGCGTCCAGCCCAGATGGGAGGGAGGGAGAGTGAAAAAAAAAAACAAAAGACGGTAGCGATGGCGAGTTGAACGGCGGCGTGGGGAGGCAAGGTACCGTCGAGGTAGCGCTCGTATGGCTTCGTTTGGAGGAGGTCGAGGTAATTCGTCGAAGGGGGGGGAAACTTGAGAAAATGGGATCGGTACTCGAGGGCTCGGTGCCTTTGGGGGCAAAAAGGCGGCGTCGGGGCGGTCGATCGAAGTCAGGGTAAGGTGAGGTGAGCTGAAGGCAGCAGGAAGGCGTCTCTCTCTGTTCCTGCAGATGAGGCAAGAGCAGGGCAGGAAAAAAAAGAAGGCTCAACACCGACACTTGGTGTGGTGAATTGAATTGGAGATTTTGATCAGGACCTAGGCCCTCGAAATCGTCGAGGCGATGGGAGAGGTGCGACGTCCGACGTGGAGGACGAGCGAGACTATGGCGACTATGGCAAGCCAGGGCTTGGCCAGGTGGTACCGTCTTAGCAGCGGGAGAGTGTGAGAGGATGAAGAGGGTTAAGGGCTGGAGCCGTGGACAGGTTCAGGGGGGCTGTCCAGGCCCTTAAGGAGGTACAAGTGGGTGAATGAGGGCTCTAATGAGGCAGGGTGTCGAATACGCGCGGGCCTTGCGTTAGTGACGGAAAGTGATGTGGAAGACGGATGCTAGTATTCCCAAGAAGGGGAAGCCGTCGTCAAGACAGAGGGACGACAAGTTTAGGGACGAGACGGATGGTGGCGCTTGACGTGGAATTTGGGGGAAGAACTAGACGGACTGGAATGGGAGGTGGACGGGATGATGGGAGAGAATAGACTGGCAGGTACCGAAGGACCCAGGCACGGTACGATGCGGAGGGGGACGGGGACGAGGACGGAGACGGGGATGGGGGTGCAAGTGAGAGAGAACAGCAGCCAGCGGTATCGTTACTTCTGAATTGACTTGGCTCTGAGTGAGGTGAGAGGTGAGAGGTGAGGTGAGGTGAGCAAATGTATCTGTCTGTCTGATCCTTGCATTTGAGGGGGTAGGTTTCCAGAGGATCCAAGGCACATTGCCTTACTTTTTGATGTTGTCCAGCTTCAGATTCTCTAAACTCTGGCTCTTCCATCCCAAGTCATCTCACAACTTCTTGTGGTTGCAAAGTCCCGGTTGTGAGGACTGAGCAGGAGCACCCTGAATTATTTGTTGATGTTGGTGGCTTGTTTGGGCATCCGGCATGCAGGGTGAGGTACGCAGTAGGTAGACAAAGTTGCCGGTACTTGGAGACACAGACACGACGCGAGTATTTCTGCACAGGCACAGAGCAGCCTGCATGTATCTCCAGGCGGTGTGCGCGCGAAGTGGTACCTTGTTGCATGGCGCGGGTGACTTGCATTGTTCCTCAGACGCAGGATCCCCAAACCCCTGGCCTGCTCTTCTTCTTCGTCTCTTTTTTCCTTTCCCTCTGCCCCTGGCGCAAGTACCATGACACTTGTCGAAGGTGTTGAAGTGACAGCCAAATAACGCACAGCCAATGGCAAACTGGGCATGAGGAAGAGAGAAAGGAAGCGATAGCGCTCTTCAGAGCCGGCCGTGGCATCACTCCATTCCCAGGATCATTATTTCCCAGCCGAGTGGAGGTCTTGGAACGGGGGCAAGAGCAGGGACAACTCTGCAAGAGGGGCCTTCTGTTCCAGCCAGGAACGTCGGGTTCCTCACTGGCTGGACTGGCTTATTGAATTGGGGGACCTGTCAGGGGCTCCTGTGCTTGGTCCAGGGGTCGAGGCATCAGAGGACTGAGGTGGTCAGCATTCAACGTGAGGTGAAGAAGCGTCGAACAGAAACATCGATATCCTAGACCACGGCCAACGACCCAGGTTCGGCAGCGGCAGCGGCAGCCGCAGCGTTTTCCCACGTTCGCTGTTTGCTCTGTTCTGTGCAGCAGCAACAAGACGGTATCTCAACGTCTTCCTCCCGCTGAAGGTACTCGCAGCCCGTGCTGGTAGCACAGCAGCACAGGGTTGTCCACTTGGAGCAGCAGAGAGGCTTCTTTCTTTTCCCGGGCAACTTCGTGTCTCTGCTGCATGCAATTCCGATCATGTGTGTCGTTGAAATTGCGATTCGTATTTCCAACGTCTTCGAGTTCCAGAATGCCCGAGTGGATAGTCTTTGATGAGAGCGCACCTGGGTACGGAGTAGGTACGGTACACAACTCGAGTATCTCGGAGTTGTACAGGCATAACGCCAGCCGGCATGAACAGCATTTGTACGTATTCGTAGTGCTGCATTGCATCTGCAGAGCGCTGCAGCGGTTCAAATTCGGCGACAATCCAATGTCCATCTTTTCCTCTGCCAGTTGTGGCTGCCGGGCTTATGCAGCTATCCAGCAATGATCGCCGCCTGCTTCGGTGGTGGGTAGTGTAATCGGTTATCCGACGCAAACAAACAACCTAATGTCATCGCTCAGGTGCAGAGACTTCGGAATGTCGACAGAACGGGATCAACGGTAATGAAAGGGCCGTTGCGCTTGCAACGACATGATTGGGGGTTTTGCTTTTTTTCGGCTTGCGTTGGGGAGGCGATGCTGATCCATCCCATCCTTCTGAACCCAAGAAGTCGCAAGAGTTGAAAATGATCTCCAGTAAGCTGCAGTTGAGACGGTTCGAGCGCAAGTGCGGCATTGGACGGATTGGAATCGTTCCGCCTTGCAGCAACACGCAGCGGCTTGCAAGTCGCGTCACTCCACCAAACTCTCTTGTTTCTTCTTTCTTTCTTTGGATGGAGACATGTGCATGTGGCAATGTCGTAATGTGCCTGTGCCTGGGCCGTTGGCTGCAGTCGGGCAAGCCAGTAACGGGCTTGGCCAAGATCCAACGACTTGATGATACTTGAGCGAGGCTTAATAATAGCAGCCATGAATCCTCTCATTTGCGCTGACTGACTGGTCAGCGGGCGAGAGGCGACTGAGGCAGTCGGAAGAGGCAAACAAAACATGCAGCTGAGAAACCAAACCACAGGCGCGGTAACACGGTATCAGATTATCAGACGACGGGAGATGCGGACGGACTGACACGACACCACACGCACACGCGACGGTTGAAACCAGATCGTTTCTGGTTGCCGTGGCTCGGGCTGTGGCTGTCACGTCGGGTGGTATCGAAGCGGGCGAGTCTGGGGGTTGACGTGAGGCAGTTTGTCTGGGACTCGCTCGTATGTGTACGGATACTTGTTTGTAGTTCGTACTCGAGTTCATCAAGACAGCCGTTGCTTTCCGTTTTGCGCAGATGATGTGTATTCGTATGGCGAGCTGCTCAGGACCAGGTGTTGTTGGTCTAGGCCTCTTGATCAGCAGCCAAGCTCGCTGCTGGCCTTACAGCTTGCAGTGCATATCTCGTCAAGAACCCTGCCAGCCGTTCGTGCAGAGCTGGAGCCTAGAGCCCCAATTCGTAGTCTGCAGGTGCCAGCACGAGTCGACTGCTGTTCTCGTACTCATCGGTCAAGCCGCTATGCGAAGGATTGGATGGGCTTTCGGCGGTGAGCGCCTTGTATCGAGTCGATGACTTGCGGGGATGAGTGTCGTCAATCGAACGTCTCACGGAGATTTTTTTCTCGGCTGGTGTGGTTGAGGCCTTGCCAATATTAGGTGCGCCGCCGCCTTGTGCGATGCCTGGCTGGGAGAGGCTGGCAGCGAGGCCGTTGATTGACGGGGTCCCAAGATGAAGCAGGACTGCTTCGACGCAGGGTCCAGGCTTTGGCCTCTTAGTCTTGGGCTCTCAGCGGTGGACGGGAGGTTGCGACGTGTGACAGTCGGCAGACTGGCGAAGTGACGATGATGGAGGATGTGGAAGGTTGGAGGATAAGGTACCGCGTACCAATTATGTACGTACCTGCCGCCGATGTCGATGTCGAGGGGAAAAGGCGCGATGCGAGCGAGGGTACGTACCTCACCACCTCATCTAAATGAGAAGCAGACCAGACGTGAGAAATCTCCACTCTGCTACTGTCGGGTTTCAGCTAAACAACCCCCCGCTACGTACAGCGCCACCAAGGCAGATCCGGGTCCCTTTTTTCGCTTCTCTTCACAAAACGACAGAGGGGCACTTTGGCTTCAAAGTCCGCACAACTTGGCACTATTCCACCATCCATGCGGTCGATCTTCCGGACCCCGACCCCGATATCGACTGCCGTCCAGCCCACGCACGGCACGCACCGTTTCGTCGATGACTGCGAATGAAGACAACAGTTTTGATGTCGCGCCGTTGTTGAACTGACACGCTACTGATGGGTATTCGCTCGTCGTCATCGCTGGATACCTTACCTGTGGTGCTTCTACAACAGTCATGCTGATCAAGGACCCAGAGATCGTTGACGATGTTCATTACACGACGCACTCAACACACAATCATTCTTTCCCGCCCGGCCGAGCCCAACTTCGGGCCATCGGGCTGCCAAATGGGTCGGCCAACTTCATCCCGCTCTTCGGCTTGCATTAGATGGGATTTCCTGGCTTTGCCTCCGACTTTCGAGGCGACAGAACCGGTCGGCCTTGATATCGACAGCCCTGCAACTGCTATTGCTCTATCCACGGCCAGCCTGGCAATTTCTCACCTTTCATCGAGATCAGCAAGATTCGATCCTGCAACATCTGCTTGCATACGCACACGATCCCGCTTGATCGTCATGATCTGACCTGGCCTGGCTTCAAGGACCGATGCTGCGACCGATCTTCAACAGCACCGAGAATCATCGACAACGGCAAGGTATGGCGTTCGTCCCTATGAAATTTTCTATCTACATGCCCGGGATTTCACTGCATATTTACAAGCCTTTTCTTCGGCTACATGGCGAGGTCCCGGGCCTGGCTGGCCTGTCACACCGGCACCACACGAATTGCCTGATTGCCCTCGTCCTTCATCTGGACCTGTGCTGGCTACGTGTGCTCTCACGGAGCTCACGGCAACCCATTACCATCAACTTTACCGAGCGGTTTGGGGTATGCTTGCGACAACCAACACTTCGGTTACACAACACACAGACTTAGAGCTTGCTACTCACCTTTATTATCGGACGACGTTGATCACCACCCAATACGTAACATAGCTCCGGTGGTTTGGTCTTCTTGAAACCAGAAAACCTCCTGGATCTGACGCTGTAATCGCAGCCTTCCTTTCCCGGCTCAGTCTTCTTCTCGGAGCATCTCATTGTGCAACCCGAATTGAGCAATGCTTCCATGGTTCATTGCGTGCCTCCGCTCCCCTGGCCTGGCCCGGACTAACAGTTACTAGCGAGGCAGGGAGCCCCGGGTTCTATGGCAGCTTTGAGAGTCTCCAGTCTCCAGGAACCACCGTGCCACGTCAAACTTGCCTGACAGCTCCTCAGTCTCTTGCCAAGCAACTCTCTGCCCAATGCTCTCGCATGGCGCGGCACGAGAGAAACCTTCGTGTCGTTAAAGCTGCTCTTTTCTGCCAAGCAGACCAGAGACGACAAGCGCGAATACACGTCCGCTGGATTCATCCCCAGGTCTGCGGAACGTCGCCTGCGATGATTGACAATTCAAGCGTCCAGGTCTAATGTGGAATAGAAGCCCACTGATGCGCTCGCTAACGGAGCCCTGTCCGTTAACCTGTTGGCCGAGGGAGCTTGGGGTTTGATCCCAATACTACGCTGTCACCGTTTCCCAAATGGCCGATTGCAACCTTCTAATTTGGACTATCGACCCCGGATAAGGTCTCGCCGTCCAAACCGACTTCGAAACGGCAGAAGAATATAACATTAAACCCACAATCTCTTGTAAGATCGTTCGATATTCGACGCTCGCCATCTCAAAAAAGCCGGCCTCTTTACATTGATAACCTTCGCGTACGGATCCGCCGGCCCCTATTCTCAACCTCTTCAGCCTCTCTAGATACCATCATGTGGGACGCTACGCAAGACCACGTAATCCCTTGTCGCGAAAACGTGCTCTGCCTTGCCAGAATTTCAACGTCGCGTCCTGTCCCGAGCAATGAGCAATCAGATTGCCGACCACCGGTCGACAGACCACCCTGTCTTGAGTGATCAAAGCCTCGCATGGCTGGCGAGCTGACGGCAGACACATGGCGCATACCGCGCACACGTCCAGTGATTCGTCCCACCGGATGAAGACAATACGTCGATGGGACGTGACAAAAGCGACCAGGGAATACCTCGCATTAGCCAGACCCAAGAAAGGGGCCGTTGGTGAGGTGTCATTCCAAACACTCGGATCAGGCGAAAAAGCTCAGCCTGTCCTTCGAGAAGCCCGAATATCTCGCCGCGCGGACCCGAGAGCCGCAATTAAACACGGCCATCGCCCATGCGACCTCCCTCCCGAACGCGACTTCAGATTCAGGACAGCATAGCACACACGATGCCGGCGTCCGCCCGCGTATCCGGCATGCCGTGGTTATTCTCCGAAATATGCACCCAGGCTACCAACTGCCGCGCCGGTACGGATACACGTGCTTCAGCTTCAGCCCAGCGAAGAAGAGGAAACCAGATGCGAACAGCACGGGAGAGCCTCCGCTCAGCGCTGCTTGAATTCGAAACCCATCCTTTCTTCGTTGTCTCTTCAGGTTTCTTTTCTGCAAACATCCTCCCCCCTTTCGTCCCCATCCCAAACGGTTCGTCAGTCAGATTCCCGACCTATAATCAACGTGGCTATCTTCGCGCATCCCGCCGGCCCTGGACATCATCCCATCATGTTCCCTCCCTCCCCCACGATCCGGGGAAGCCCGCGATTGCCCAGCAATATCCATGCATCGCCATCATGCTCCCTCCTTACTCCCGTAACTGACACTCCTGCGTAATCGACCCACGGACAGAGTTTCCCTGCCACACTCTCTCCGGTCACTCACTCACCATGAGCAGTATGACATGAAGTCCAAACAGTAAAAACAAGCAGACCTCGTCAACATGATGCACCCCCTCTCCCCCTATTGGCGTTCTCTCTCATCCAATGTGAACCCCCCGCCCCTCCGCCACCCAATCCATCATGAACCCAAAAATATCATCCAAAGTCAGATTGATAGACATGCACACACACACGCACACAAAAGGACAGAAAAGCCACAGCGCTTGGACGCGATCGCACATTCAGACCCCCCATGCGCCACGCGCCGGCTATCCCGTCCGGTCAAATCACGCCCGCTCTCTCTTGAAAGATTTCAGCCGCGGCTGCTGCGCTAGCATGGTCAATCCTTCACTTCGATTTTCATTTGTCTTTTCCAATAATAAGTCCAAACATCCTCTTCTGTCAGATCATTATGCGGACCACATGATCATCCCGCTGCCCGGTTTGAAGCTCGGCAGGATCGTTCGAAGGTGTCGCGGATCCTCCGAAACAGAGTTGTTGAGCCCAACTTACACCAGACAAGATCTCCTTTTTGCTTCATTTAGTCCGACGCAAGGCATGTGTATGGATGGAACTGGATCATGCATACAGTCATGTCGTCATGGCAGCTCAGCGATAATGAGGTAAGATCTAGCCCGAGGGGCCTACTATCATCATCATCACGGCTCCTTACGGGGCTTCCTGCCGTCGGCGCAACGGACCGGCTCCGGACCGTGTGGGTCAACCCCGGCGTACGGACACAACGTTCGGCATAAGACGCGGCGCATACAATGAAAAAGATAGATGTTGGTACAGCGCACGGCTAGCTATGCCGGCAATTAGAACAGCGATACAAGAAAGAAAGGCTTCCAAGATGTACTCAACCCAAACCTTGCCTCCCAAGTAGCTAGCTCCCGCCCCCTATCCCCTCCATACCGACTACGACGCAAAGAACTCCGATTTTACTTTTTATCCCGATTTCCGACTCATCCCGGACGCCTGATGCCCGTCGCTTCCCCGTTCTTGTGTGTCAAAAACACAAAATTATGTATGTTTGGAAACCGATCTCTAAGCCGCGACGCTGCTCTCCCGCTGCTTCTTGGCAATGTAGTACGTGATGAGGTTTTTGGGGTCGTCCTTGGCACCCTTGAGGAGATCCCAGAACGGGCCGTCGCCGATTCGCGAGTGAAGCGCCACGCACAGCTGCACGGCGCCCATGCGCACGCCGGAGTCCGCCGACTCGAGGCACCGACCGGCGAGGGCGGCCAGCTGGGCGAGCTCGCCCTCCGACGGCACGAAGCCGGTGCGCTTGTCGAGCAGCTCCTTGAGGACGTGCAGACCCGTCGCGAGGCAGCGGCTGCCCTCGACCGAGTTGTCCTGCTTGCCCTGGAGGAGCTTGGCCATGACCACGACGATCTCAGGGGGGTCACCCAAGGCCACGAGCTCTTCGGCGAGGAGCTCGAGGCCGCTGACAATGCGCACCCGCGAGTCGTAGGCACTGCGCGTCTCAACAAGCGACTCGAGGCCGCGGGAAACGTGCGGCTGGAAATTGTCCCGCTCCTTCTTGAGCAGGAGCTTGATCGTCGCGAGGATCTGAGCCTTGACGTCCTGGACCCTCTCCGGCGCGAGATTATCAAGCGGCGCTTCCAGATACTCAAAGAGGCCGCGGAGAAGCGCCTCAAACTTCTCGTCTGTGAATACGGCCTTACCGTCTCTTATGATTGACTGAAGCTTTCTGAAGCCGTGGACGTCCAGGGACTTGGCCTTGACTCTGGTGACGCCGCTCTCCAGCAACTTGGACGTCTGGCGGGCCTTGTCAGGTGTCTCTGGAGCCCCGTTCACCTCGCCGTTGGTAGGTGCTGGAGCGGGGACTTCGTTGATTGGCTTGTCCTCGAGCACCGGCCCAGTAGGGCTGGACTTGTCAACAGGCTGGTCCTCGACGAAAGGGTCCTCAAACACCTTCACATCAGCAGGCGCCTCGCCAGATTCAACTTCGTTCTGCTGAGCCGGGATAGGGGCGGGTGCTTCCTCGGAAGCGACCACCGGTGCCTCCGTCTGAGGCTCAGCAGGGGCTTCTACTGGAAGAACGGGCTCCTCCACAGAGTCACGGACTGGCGAGTGTACAGCTGACTCCGGAATAATCTCAGCCGCGGGCTGGAGTGAAGGTGACGGGGAAGCTCGCATCTCAGGTTCTGGTGTAGGTTCTGGCATATGCTCTCTAGGTAGAGGAATCTCCATGGATACGGCTGTGGGTTCCTCCGACGCGGCACGTCTAGGGAGTGAAGCTCTCAAACTTGCAATGTTGGGCACGACCAGAGTGAGATCTTCGTTATCTCTAGACGGGCTGCTCGAAGGCATCGCAGTCTGAGATCTCTTAGTTTTCGCAGGACTGGTTCGTGGAGAAGACACCGATTTCGACAGCGCAGACTTGGCACCAGGAGACGCGACGCTCGACTCGCTGGCGTGAGGCGCATGTCCGGGGCGCGTTCGAGGGGGCACTCTCCTAGGCGACGCCTCTGTTTTCGGCTTTGTCGTGGACTTGTTCCTGAGGGTTTCTGGGCTTGGAGCTTCGCCGTGGTGTCCATCATGGGTCCTCACTGAATACGGTCCTGCTGTTGCCGGTCTCGCGGCCATCTCCGGACGCTTCTTCGTAGGTCGCATAGGCCGGACAGACATGCCTCCAGAAACCGTCGTCTTTGCCGGGGCCGCTGGACCTGTTGATGCGCTCGGGGCTGCTGAAGACTGAGGTCGAGCCGGAGAAAGATTGGCCATCGCAGACCCCGGACGAGGGGGCAGGTTTCGGGATCCCATGGCCTTCTTTTGGGCCATCATTGTCTCGCGCAGAGACGGTTTGGAGCTACTCATTGTGCTCTTAGACAAGCCCAATCCCGGTCTTGCGCGTTCGGTCTCTGTCCTCTTTGGAGCATTAGGGTTGTTCGGGTCCTTGTCGAGGAGCTTCTGAGCTGTCGGTTCCAGCGCATCCTTGAGTCTATCATTGTGTAAGTAGCAAATCAATCATGGACATGCAGCTGTCGACTTACGCCTCGGCCCTCGCAGGCCAGATTTGAGCAAAAACCCAGTATGTTCCACGCATTCTCTCCCTCACTCCCGGGTTTGCGTCGTTGAGGCCCCTCTTGATCGACTTTTCAACCATGTCCAAGCCACCACCGTGCTCAATATGACTCTTGTGGTTGGCCTCCTTGTTCAAAATCGTCTTCAGCCAGCCACTCGCATACGTCCTCGGCTGGACGTTCTTGTCCTGACACGCCATCGAGATGTGTTGCATGATTCGCGAGTTGTACGTCACTCTCCCGATAATGATGTCAACGGTAGTGTTGGCAAGCTGGGAGCTGATCTTCTTCGTCGCGGCTGAAAGCTTGATGAAGGTCTGCATAAGAAGCTCCACCAGAGGATCCATCCCGGGACCGAAAGTAAGGGCGATATCCTGCACCAGACTGCAGCCTTCCTTGGACAGACTGGTTCGCAGAGAGTTGACGGCTTTGATAATTCCATCGAGTAGACCTTTGAGACCCAGCAGAAAGATGTCGGGGTAGTCTTGCGGTACGTTTCCAGCGATGAGCCTGCGCAGCTTCGTCATGCTCTCTTCGCGCTTCAGCCAATTCTGCTCCGACTCCCTTCCGTCGAAGTACAACATCATTTCCCTAAAAATGTCGTCCAATTCGCCCTTGGTGTTGACGTATGCTGGTTCTACCTCGCTTCGTGCTTCGGCGGGAGGCGCGGGCGTGATGGGTCGCTCGCTCGCGAGGGATGACACGCTGGCGCCGAGCTTCGGTCTGGTAACTGGCGGCGCGGGGGCGTCGTGAGGCGTCTCGGGTCGTTCGCCGGATGGGGCCAGCTCCTTGACGATGGCCTGCTCGATCGCGGGACGGACCTTGAAGTTCTTGAGCTGGCGCTTGAGGTCAGATTTGGCGGTACCAGGCGCATTTCTGCGTGTTTGTAATTAGCGCGCGTCTTCGAAGCCGGGGCTCTGCTCGAACGTACCTGAAGAGCTCAATGACGGTGCTCTTAGCGACGTCGCGCACCATGCCGTCGGCGTCCTCGAGCAGCTCCATAAGCGTCGGAACGTAGGCGCGGAACTGCATGCCGTGCTCCTGGTGCATGTAAAGCAGCCAATGCATGCCGGCCTCCTTGGCGCGCGGGTTCTTGCCGACCATGGCGACGTTTCGCACCGATCGCTCGACGTCCATGGGGGCGGCGGTGTATATCGTCGTCAAGGCTTGCGACGCGAGACTCCTAAACTTCTCTTTCGGGTCGCCCAGCTTGTCGATGACCAACGGCAGGGTGTGCTTCGCCTCCTTGGCGATGTACTTGGGCTCCTGACGCGACAGCCTCGTGAGCAGGTGGTTCAAGGCCGTGAAGCCGGCGTTGACGAGGATGGCATGCTGGGAGACGGATGCGGTGCGGAGGCCGTCGAAGACCTGGGGGATCAGGACGTCGGGGACATTGTGTTGCTTGATGCCGGACTTGATGCCCGTGACGTGCTGGACCTTTACGTCGATGCTGGCCTCGGAGCGTAGGATCTTGAGCAGGTCATCGACCTGTTCCTCGGTGATTTTTTCAGCCATTCCCCGCAGAACGAGGTTTGGGGTCGGGTTCGGTCGTGTTTTGTGCCTGGCGAGAGCGAGGGAGATTGGTCAGCTGGTGTTTATCTCGCGAGCGGTTTTCGTGCAGGAAGCTGTAGCTCGACAACAATGAGGTATTGGGTATGGAAGGTGCGCGCGCGCAAATGCATAGCCAGTCAGGGCAGTTGAGCGACAGCAGTTCGAGTAGATGACGGCGAGAACATGAGTCGTTGTCGTTTAGCGCAACGGGGGGGGAGGGGTGGAGGTTTGAAACTGGGCGAAGACTGGGCAAGGAACAAGCGGGAGCTGGAGGGGGAAAGACAGAAGCTGGCTTACGATATGTGTGTGTTCGTAAAGGCGCGTCTGCGTCAGATGCAGTCGGCACGGAGGAAAATCCCAGTGCGAAATGCTGGTGCGCGTGTGTGTAACGAACGGAACGGAACAGACGTTTGCACTTTTCTTGGGCGCAGAAATGTGAGGTCGGGGTCGGGTGTTGTGATTGTTTGCGGATGTCTCGACTTCTGGACCAAACATAGGGGGATCCCAAGCCGCAGTTGCCCCGTGCCACGGGGACTTGTTGTGCTCGACTCAAGGTTATTACTGGCCAGCAGGTGGACCTCTTCCCCACGATGCCGCCTCTGACCTGCCGCGGGACGCTAAGGGAAAGCCGCTAAGCGCGAAACGGCATGCCCTGGGACTGGCACTGGCACTGGGATATGCTATCCGTACCGCCTGGGGTAGCTCCTATAAAAAGGCCTAATAGTTATTTAACTCTTATATTAACTATAAATTAGTATTAAACTTCTATTTATTTATTTACTTTATTATTATAATATAGCTATATCCCCCCTATATTTTATTATAATCTTTAGTATTTTCCCCCTCTTTTTATTAATCTTTTTATATTCTTAAGGAGTTAATAAATAATAGGATATTAAGGATAGCGTTTCTATACTTAATATAAGCTTATATATAGGTATAACTAATAAAATAGTAGTTATATTACTTATTATTAACTTAAAGATAATAATATATAGTTAATAAAATATTATAAATTAGTTAGTTAATAATAATAATAATATTAATCTTTTAGAGCTATATATTATAAAGGAAAAGTTATATTAATTTACTTTTAGAATAATAAAGCTTTTAGATCTTAATACTCTTATTTTTTAAACAAAAGCTTAAATTAATATATATATTATTTAGCTATTATTAAGGGTTTATAAATATTATTCTTAAAGTTTTTATAAAAGGCTTAAACTACTTTTATTATAATAATAATAAGTATTATTTTAAAGGGAACTTAAAAAAAAGATTAAAAAGAGAGATAAAAGAAAAAGAATTTAATTTATTTCTACTACTTAATAACTCTATTAAATAGAGTATAAAGACTTATTATAGTACTAGCAACCTTAGGAGCCTTTTAGGCTTAACTAGTAGTTATATAACTTCTATTATATAAATAGGGCTTTATACGCTCTAGCCTATAAGGCTAAGATCTTATATATACCCTATAGTAGAGTTCTTTTTCCTTCTTTAGCTATAAATGTACTTAATATAATATATTTTAATATACTAGCTTAATCTATTTATCTATTTATAATACTATTTATAGCTCCCCTTTTATTCTCTAAAGATAGAAGATTAATATCTTAACTAAATACCTATTAAAATTACTTTATACTAATTATTTATATCCTTATAGTATCTAACTAAATATTAAACTAATTTAATATATTATATTAAATAAATATAATTAATATACCCCCTTTATTATATAAAATAGCTTATAACTTATAGAGAGACTCTAATTAAAGTCTTAATAAGATTATAATTAATATTAATTAGCCTCTTTAGCCCCTTAAGGACTAGCTAAATAACTATTACTTTATATATATACCTCTAAGTAATATTAATAGCTTAAATATTATAGCTTTTAACTTTAACTTTTTTATTATAAATTAGCCCTTTAAGTATCTTTTTCTTAATAATATTATTATAGTAATTTAAAAATAACTTATCTTTATAGTATATAATAAGCTAAAGGATATTAATAACTTTTAAATTTAAAATAAGAGACTTTTTATAAATAAAAAAGCTTATACTTAAAGTAAAAATACTTTTAACTATTTATATTAAAATAACTTTAAAGTAGTTTACCTCTATATTAATAATTAGATTCTCTTTTAAGCTATTTAGGGTTTTAAGGGATAATAGCTATATACTATATAGGTCTAAATATTTTAAAATAATAAAGCCCTCTATAAAGTAGTCTTCTATTTTAAACTTAAGAATATAGAGCTTTATAGTGCTATTAATAACCTTTATTATACTATTTTAAATAGTAAAGCTCTCTATTATTATTATATTAAATAAAATAAAGCTTATAATAAACTTATTAAGATTTGAAAGTAATTAAACCTTATTTATATTATTAATAAAGCTCTATTAAGCTAAAATATATTTCTTATATCTTTAATACTTTAAATTAACTTTATTATAAGTATTACTATTTGAATAATCTTTAACTATATAGAATACTTTAAGGCTAATTAATAAGACTTAATATTTAGCTTAACTAAAAGTAATATAAATTAATAAGCTATTAAGATACTAAAGGTTTCTATTTTTATTAATATATTTATTATTAATAGCTATATTAATAAGAACTTTATATTTAAAGCTTAATAGTTTTATATTTATATTTACCTTATTAATAGAGAGTACTTTACTTAAAAATAATACTTTAAATATATCTTATTTTATATAAAAGGAAACGCTTATAATATATTATTCTCTATACTTTTAGGTAATACCGCCTAAATTATTACTATTAAATAAATTATTTTAAAGCTTAAAAGTATATTTATTAATTTAATTTAATAAAATAAAGCTTAATTAAAGCTTAATACTTTTATTATCTCTTTGAAAGATATTTAGGCTAAATATATTAAATTTATTAAGCTAATCTATAAGAGTAAGCTTTTTAACTTATAATAATACTAAAAGTTCTATAAAAAGTTCTTTATCTCTCTTTAAAATTAATATTTAGTTTATTATATAAATAATAGCTTAAGCTTTTAGGAGTATATTATAATAATCTATATTATTATCTATATTATATTATTAATTAATACCTATTTTATTATTATTAATATTAATAGATTTAGTATTTATATTAATATTATTATTACCATAAGTATTAACTTAAGTACTCCCTTAATAGATAGATCCTATTAGAATTAAAGCTTTTATAATACTATACTAAAGGTTATATATAAAAAGCTTTATATTAAGAGCGCTTATTTTATCTATAGTAATAAGGACTATTAAGCTTATAAATACCTATATAAGTTAAATAAGACCTCTATAAATATTATTAAACTAACTAAAGAGACCTTTAAGAATACTTTAATAGAAAACTAAAGCTTTTAGTATAAATAGACTTTTAGTTAAGGGAGAATAAAATAGATTAATATATAATATTAACTTTTATTAATTTCTAATAACTTATTAGAGGCTAGCTATTAAAAAAAGAGATAATATTAATTTATAATAAATATAGTATTTATCTATATATTCCTCTTAATATTAAAGTAAATAGTTATACTTTTATAAATATATAAATTATACCCCTATTAAGAGATTTTTATTAAGTACCCTATAAAGAACTATAATAGCTTATCCCTATTATAGGGTTTAATAGGGAATAACTAAATGCTATAACTATAGCTTAAATAGCCTATATATATATAGACTATTAAGAACTATTATATATACTCCTCCTCTAATTTAATATAAATAAATATAACTTAATCTTAAGCTATTTATAGTTTAAATACTATAGTATTAACTTAAATATATATTAATAATACTTATTATAGCCTAAAGATCTTCTAACTAGCTAAAACTTACTATATATTATTATATATAATATAGAGAACCTTTATTAGTTTATTAAGATTAATATTAACTATTAGCTAGATATTAAGAGATATTAAGCTACTTTTAAGGCTAAAGAATACCTCTATACTAAATAATAATAAAAGAGAAATACTATAAACTCTCTTATAAAGATTCTATTATATCTATAGTATATTAAGAAAATTAACTAATAAGAGAACCTATAAAAAATAAATAAAATACTTACTAATAATCCTTTATAGAAATACTAACCTCTATATTACTACTATTAAGAATAGTTTTTAATAAAGGCTATAATAGCTAAATAACGCCTAAATATAGCTCTTATTAATACTATTAAGTTTAATATAAAGGTATTATAGGGGCTAAATACTATAGTTAAGTTAAATAAATAATAAAAGTACTTAAAAAGTAGGTTTTATATTATTATACTACTTTTATTTACTTTCTCTAAGATTCCTCTTTTATTAGGTTTTTAATATAAGCTTATTAAGCTCTTACTATAGAGGGTTTAATACTTTAGACCTATAGGCCTTTATTATTAGCTTACTTATAGTTCCTTAAGCTATCTTTAATATCTCTATCTTAAAGTTCTTAAGACCTTTATAATTATTCTCTTTTTAGTTATAATAATCTCTATTATATTTAATTTCTTAATAGAGTATTCTCCCTAATAGTTTAAGTTCTTATTTCTTAAGGCTATTTTATTTTTTTAGCTAACCTTTCTCTATAGCTTTACTAAATAACTATATTCTTACCCTTATATATTATAATAGCTTTAACTTATTATTTCTTATTACTAAAGGTATTATAATAAGGCTTTTTTTAATATTATATTTTATTTATAAAGTATTTTATTTCTATTATTTAGTAGATAATAAAGTTATTTCTTTTTTATTTACTTATTATTTCTTAAAGCTTTATTTATTATTTGTTCTACTTTATATAGATAAAGATCTTATAATAGCTTTATTTTTTTATTTTTTTATTCTCCTTTTTAGATAGTTATATTATAAAACTATTAAAGTTATTAAATTATGATTTCTCTATATAATTTATTATATTTACTTTATTTT